AAAGCAGCCAAAAGGCCACGATAAAGGGACTGAGGGTTTGGAGAGTTGCAGCGTTGTGAGAGTTCTGAGAGTTGTTTGACTACGCAAACTTTTCTTCAGTTGAGAGTTTTCAGAGTTTGGACTTTTGCCAGACTTCAGAATGGCCAGGAAAGCCACCCTTGGCGGAGCCAGTGCCAGGATTGACCACTTTACACTTTTCAGGAGCAATTGCGCGGTTCTCAACTGTCAGTTTTGCAGGATCCATGGGTGACAAAGAAGAGCAAACAGCAGGACATCCGCTGTCCAAGAGTTGCGGAGAGTTTTGAGAGTTTTTTTTTGAGAGCTCATATGCATACAAATATATGTTCCTGCAGGCGAGCTTGGGAGTGCGTGGAAATTCCTGTCGAGCCCGCTGTACGAGAGATACATTGGAGGCCTTGAGATATCAAGACTAGTGAAACGATGCCAGTTCTTGAATGTGTCCTGAAAATGTTGTGATGCTGGTGTGATTCAGATCCAAAGCCGGCTAAGCAACAGGGTGGAGAGCTTGGTGTTTGAAAAGTTCAGAGTGTATAGAGAGTTTTGAGAGCTGCACTACCTGGCATACTGACAATCTATTTTGAATGTGTTTGGTACTAAGATGTCGCTACACATGATGAAGCTCCAGGCCTGTCTAAATCAAGAACAAAAACAAAGCTAAGAGTTTTGAGAGTTTTGAGAGTTGAGAGTTGTTGAGAGTTTTGACAGTTGAGACTTACAATTTCAGTTGAAACAATAGTTTTGAGAGTGTTGTCCGCGAAGGTGATGGACCAAGGAAGCAGGAAGGGAAGGAGGAAGCGAAGCAGGAGGAAAGCAGTGGACTCAGAGTACATAGAGAGTTTTGAGAGCTTTGAGAGTTTTCCAACGAGCGCATGTTTGAGATTTTTGACAGTTGAACGATGCCAGTTATGTTGAAGCTTTGATTGGAGTTTTGGGAAGTGCGATAGTTGTGGGGCTGAGGCTCCAAGGCAGCAGTCCTCAATCCTGTGACCCCTCTGACTCCTCAAGGACATCCAGAAAGATTTTTCGTGTGGATAGATGCTAATCCAACGAGCGCATGTTTGAGAGTTTTAAGGTCAGTTATATTGAATTTCTTAGAGTTCTTGAATGTTTTCAGAAAATGGTATGATGCTGGCA